CACAGAGACAGAGAGAGAGAGAGAGAGAGAGAGAGAGAGAGAGAGAGAGAGAGAGAGAGAGAGAAAGCTAGAAATCACTCCCCGGGGGCATGGCCATGCCGCAATTCCTTCTCCTCCATTCTCCTTTCTCGGGATCTTGGGCACGCATGCACATGCGCCCAGCGTGAGTTTAAGCCGCTGGGTCCGAGACTCAAATGGCGGTCGACTACATGGGAGTCCAGTGACATAGCCATTACGCTAACTGCTGGTCCCCCATCCAGGTCTTGAACTACAGTTAGCCACGTGGGAGTCCCGCAATGTAACCATTTTGCCATCTACTGATCCCAGATAATTTTTTAATTTTTTGCCACAGGGTATGTGCATTCACAAGAGAGAGAGAGAGAGAAAAGGTGAGAAATCATCCTTCAAGAGGGATGTCCAGATTGCAGTCTCTTTTCCTCCATTCTCATCTTGGGAGTTTGGATACTCACGTACATGCACCCAGCATGTTTTTTAAAGCAGCAGGTCTGGGACTCAGACCGTGGAGTTGACCATGTAAGATCCAGCACCTTAAACCACCACACCACCTGATATAATTGAAATTAAACATCTTGAGACCATCAGATGGTGTAATGCTAATGTTGTTGGACTGCCACATAGTTGACCACAGTTCAAGTCCAGGACCTGGCAGCTTAAAAAACTCAATGCTGGGCATGTGTGTGTATGTGCTGAAAATCCCGAGAGGGGAATATTTGCTGCATGGCCATCCCTCCCAGGGGTGATTTGTCCCGGGGACAAATAGGATTAGAATTTAGGTTCTTAAATTTTTTTTTTTTTTGGAGAGATTTTCGCTATAGGGCGCATGCGCTCACCAGACAGACAGAGAGAGACATAGAGACAGAAAGCGAGAAATCACCCCCCAGGGGGGATGGTCACGCCGCAATCCCTTCTCCTCCATTCTCCTCTCTGGATCTTGGGCACGCGCCCAGCGTGGGTTTTAAGCCACCAGGTCCGGGACGCAAACCGCGGTCGACTATGTGGGAGTCCAGCGACATAGCCATTACGCAAACTGCTGGTTCCCTTGAATTTTTTTTAAAGGAGATCAGAAGTTTTGTTTTTAAGAATTATTTAATTTAACTTTATTTATTCATTTTAATTTGACCAGAGAGGGACAGAGTGAGTGAGCGAGCGAGAGAGAGTAAGTAAGAAAACAAGCCATCAGGTCCAGGACTCGAACCATGGTTGACCCTGTGGGAGTCCAGTACCCTTAACTACCACACCACCTGCTGGCCCCCAGGTTCTTGAATTTTTAGCCCAGCATTATTTCTGCAACATACTTGAACATTATAAAATATGAGCAAAACAGTCATCTCTCGTAGAAAAAAGTCAAATTTTGAGAGTGACTTAAAATTCTTTCTAGAGGGACCAGCATTTAGTGTAATGGCTATGTTGCTGGACTCCCACGTAGTCAACTGCGGTTCAAGTCCCAGACCCGGTGGCTTAAAACTCACGCCGGGCACATGTGCATGCGTGCCCAAGATCCCGAGAGGAGAATGGAGGAGAAGGGATTGCAGCGTGGCCATCCCCCCTGGGGGGTGATTTCTTACTTTCTGTCTCTGTCTCTGTCTGTCTGGCGAGTGCATGCGCCCTATAGCAAAAACCTCTCAAAAAAAAAAAATTCTCTCTAGAGACATTTGGTCTAGGAACACATCTGAGAGAGTTATGAGTCTGGGCTTTATGCCAAAAGCCATGAAAATAGATCAGTGTCTATTACTATTTCAGGCTGAAAATCAGAGTGAACTTAAAGGGAACAGAAACCATGTGCTACTTTTATTTTCTATATAAATGGGAATGAAAACATCAATTAAAAGATGATTATTAAGAGATTTTACCAAATAGTAATTAGAATTAAATAGAGAGTAGTAGTATGAGTAATAAGTTGTGGCCTCTTGCAGAGATAGGTTGGCTTTTTATTTAGGATTGTGTTTCCATGTGTGTGTAGCTGGAGAGTTTATCTTCTAACTCCTTGTTCCATACAGTTTATGGAGAATATATTGAAGGATAAATCTAATTCATTCCGGGATCAGTAGTTGGTGTAATGACTATGTCGCTGGGTTCTCATGAAGTCAACCGCAATTTGAGTCCCGGACCCGGTGGCTTAGACTCACGCCAGGCACATGTTTATGCGTGCCCAAGATCCCGAGAGGAGAATGGAGGAGAAGGGATTGCGGCATGGCCATCCCCCCCCCCCGGGGGGGGGATTTCTCACTTTCTATCTCTCTGTCTCTGTCTTTCTGGCGAGTGTACGCATCCTATAGCAAAAAAAAAAGAAAAAAGAAAAAAAAATGGAAAAAAAAATCTAATTCATTCCTTTGTGCTAAAGTGTACTAGAATAGAGGTATTTATGTAGACCACATTATTTTGACCTTGTATAATGTTGCTTTTACTGAAAGGTGCTCTGTGTGTTTTTGTTTTGTTTTTAAAGATGCTCTGTTTTGGAGAACATTTTAAGAAATAGTCCTGTGAAACTTGTTGCTGTATTAAAAGTTTTATGTTTCCATATTCTTGAATGTATCAGACATTTAGCATACTATAGAGATTAACATTTCCCTCATATATCAGATTTGTAAAAAAAAAATTGACATTTGTTGATTTACTTCAGACACTCTAAAATAATTAAAATAAGGGCTGGCAGGTGGCATGATGGTTAAGGCACTGGACTCCCACATGACTGACTGTGGTTTGGGTCCTGGAGCTGGTAGCTTGCTTTGTCATTTGCCTTTTTTCTCTCTCTGTTTCTTTCTGGTCAAATTAAAAAATAATAATAAGTAAAATAAAATGAAGAAATCTTTTTCTTAAGAATTATTTTTTAAATTCCATTTGTTATTTTTTGACCAGACAGAGAGAAAGGGAAAGCAAGAAAGCAAGCTGCCAGGTCAGGGACTCATACCGCAGTTGGTCATGGAGAATCCAGCACCTTCAACCACCACGCCATTTGTCAGCCCCTAAAATGAAGAATTCTTTAAAAAAATAATTAAAATACATTTCCATTTCAGATGTAGTTGCAGACTGTGCCTCACCCTTTATTTCATTCACTTCTCTCTCTCGAGTTAAATATGCTCTTGTAGTTAGTGCAGAGCTTTTGTTTTTATTTTTATGATTCATGTGTGTATGCTCGCAAATCCATAAAGCATACTTAGCATTGCTTGTGCTTTATGT